AGTCCCCTAATCATCTTAGTTGCCATTCTCTGCATTTTTTCTTCAAAATCTCAACATCATATATGTGTGATGCTGGTTTAGTTGGTGTGTAGTGTCTGTTACATCCAACTTTATAATAAAGAGCAATTACATAGTTATTCTTTGATAGTCCAAAACTCTCCTTTTTGGTTGGTTTCTTCACATTTGCTTCAGATTATATAAATATAGTAACTGTTCATGTCTCATTTGTAGAGGGATTTGGGGAAAGTGGGAAATTCCTCTAAAGTAAATAACATTTGGTTCTTACATGGTTTTGGAAAAATGGCAATAATCTTAAAAAGTGAACAGCTAGCAAACTTCAAAACAAATAAAATAAAATATTAAACTAAAGCTATTATATTCTTGTGTTTACTGAGTAGAAAGATGCAAGCCTATATGAGGGGATAAATAAGGTCTAAGTAGCACATATAAAAAAAATAAAAAGGGCATTCTGAAAAGTTAAATATAATTAAGAAGAGGGTTAATTTTTCCTTGTCTCAATCTGTGATTTATCCCTCCCCAGACCTAGACAAGAAATTGCAAAGAGCTATGTTTGAATTGATTAAATTGCTTTTTTGCTAAGGTAGACCTTATATTAACATGTCTCCAGCAAGTTTTGCAAATTTCGGGAGAAGAAAAATAGAAAAAGTTTTGGCATGTCAACCAAAGTAGTAACAAGCTTGAAACTTCATCCCAGTGATTTAGGGCAGTTATATATTACATCTGAAGACATACTTCAGAGAAGATTCACTGCCTTCTCAGCTCTTTTCTGTGTCTGGATAATCAACAAAATGAGTCCCTTTCTACACTTAGCCAGGCAAGAAATCAAATATATAGTTGATAATGTAAGGAAGGATACAATGCCAGGGCTGGATAGTTTTTCAGGAGAATAAACGGAAAGATATGCAGATCTTCTGGTTTCTAAATGTTAAACCTTTTCAGAATGCATTTGAAAGCAATACTGGTTTCATTTCTGCTAACAAAGCTCATATTGCTTTAGTAGATAAAGATTGCAATAAGCTAATCAAATAGCTCCTTCATTAAAGCATTATCTGGCATTTTTATAAACCACCTGCAGAAAGTACATTCAGATCAGGTGAGGGATTTATTTATGATAGACAAGGAGTTGACAATTTGAGATTATCAGGAAACCTTGAAGTTTTAAATAATGCTTAGTGGAGCCATCTACAATTATTTCACTTGAAATATGAAATGCGTAGCAATATTTTTTTTTATTCTTTCAACATTCCCCTGAGTCCCTTTAGAATGCATTCCAGTTTTTAATCTTGTCCGAGAATTCTAGTGAGAAAGAATGAGATTTTATTCTATACCCTTTCCATTGGAAAGAATGTGGACAATGACCTTATTGTCTTTCTGTTCTATTGTTTGCATTTTACCGGTATTTGAGAACTCACACACATGTCTGCACATGACCGCATGCAGGCACACGGTATACCAAAAGTCAGGCCTCATAGGCCAATTAAACAATATGATTTATTAATTCTTTTTAGAAAATAGTACTGTACTTAGACACGTTTAAAGGGCACGCATCAAACAAGTAAGGAAGTGTCTAGAACAAAGGTAGGCAACCGTGGCTCTTTTATGACTCGTGGACTTCAATTCTCAGAATTCCTGAGCCAGCATGGCTCAGTTTGGAAACCTCTCCCTTTCCCCTCAGCATGGCTGGCTCAGGAATTCTGGGAGTTGAAGTCCATCAGTCATAAAAGAGCCATGGTTGCCTACCCCTGGCCTAGAAGAAAATCTGAACATTTAATATAATTTACCTAAGTTATCTGTGGGGGCTGGCTTTTGGTACACTGTCTCTACATCAAGTGTTTCTCAACCTTGGCTACTTAAAGCCTGTGTGGGCATCAACTCCCAGAATTCCCGTTGGCTTGAGACTTCTGGGAGTTGAAGTCCACACGTCTTCAACCTTTCTCAAGGTTGAGAAACACTGCTCTATATGAAAGAAATACGGATATGTTGCTGCTTGTTGATCAGTCTGAACTTTCCTTATTGAAATTAATAAAATTAATGGATGAGTTTGGACTCTACCTCAGTATAATATTAATTGGTTTGAATCTGAATTGAGGTTTGGAGTGAAGGGCACTAATTTGTCAAAGTCAGTTTTCGCTGGGCACTTTCAACTCTACCAAGAAGCAATAATTTATCTTGGGTTAGGAGTACGGGAGACATCGTTAAATTGAATGTATATAAATTGCCGTTAGATATCGCAACAATTTGGGTAGATGGGATATAGAGCAGGTAAGGAAAGCTACAAGGAAGATATACGAGCATGATGAGCTTCTGGGCTAAATGCCCATGGTTTAATTATTTGGTATCCTGGTGTTTCGCCAGCAACCATGCTGGCATCTGTGGAGGTAAAGTAATCACTGTAGCACACTTCTTGGAAGCTCACCAGCCACTGAGTGAACACTAAATAAGCCGTTGAATTTATAACTGAGCAATCTGAATTTTAAATAAACTTTCCAATGAAACTCATCTCTGATTGACCCATGTCATGGGAGTCTACGAATGCTAGTTCCTAATTGGTTCTTCATCCGTGTAAACTTCTGATTGGTGGAATTTGAGGAAATTCTAAGATGTTTCTGTTTTGCCTGGTTGATTTGCCTGTCTTGGTGTTATTTCAGGATCTGTAGATTCTGGAATCTGGGGAATTCAGGGAGTTGAAGTCCACAAGTCTTAAAGTTGCCAAGTTTGGAGACCCCTGCTCCATCTACGTGACAGAAGTGGTGAGACAGTTCACCCCGTCTTTGAAAGCACTGTTCCTACTTGCTTTCACGAGGACATGAAGCCTTGGCTCCAGGAACAGGTGACCTAAAGACCTTCCTCCTTCAAACAAAGCGCTGGAAACCCTTGTCAGATTTCTAGCTCCACCCAACAACAGAATGTTTAAAAAAAACACTGGAGATTCTTGACAGTTGGAGTCTTTCTTACAACGTCCTGCAATTATCTGACCAGTTACAAATGTCGTATGTGACTTCTCAGCTAGCCCACTAAGTTCAGATGCTAAGGTAGACTGCAAAGGCTCAACTTAAGGTTCCAAAACAGGATTTGGTAGAAGGCATTTCTGTGTGTGTCGATGCACGTTTAAAAAAAATGGGCAGAGCTTTGATCACGCCGTTGTGACCACCATCTTGGGTTTTGTGTCATCTCTGGTAGCCAATATAGACCAGACCAAACCATAAAAAGATTATGATGGTGTTGCTACAAAATGCTTCATAAGCACTAAGAATTTGAAAGAGTGGCAGTTTGGAATACTCCATATTTAAATATTCTAAGATGTCCAGAGGAAGGAAGGAAGGAAGGAAGGAAGGAAGGAAGGAAGGAAGGAAGGAAGGAAGGAAGGAAGGAAGGAAGGAAGGAAGGAAGGAAGGAAGGAAATCAATTAACCAACAATCTAAAGGCTGATGAAGTACCAATGATGTCCAGGTCCTGCTGCCAACTCCTAGGAATCGACCAAGGACAAATCAGGACTGAAGTGGCCATGAACACATCTCCACAACCGCCTTCAGGGAGAGCAGGAATCAAGTGCATAAGACTTCAGCTTTGTGATGAATGCTTTTAGAACATAGAACACAGAATCCTAAGGCTGGAAGGTCTTCTAATCCAACCCCCTGCTCAAGGCAGGAGACCTAGCACCGTTCTGATCAAATGGTTATCCAGTTTATCCCTGAAAACCTCCAGCAACGGAGCACCCACAACTCCAGGAGGCAAGCTACTCCACTGTTTAATTGTACACACTGTCAGGAAATTACTCCTTACTTCTAGGTTGGCTCTCTCATGAAACAGGAAAAAAAACCGAGATCTTTCTGAAAACTTGAAGGATCGACTTTAAGACGGTGAAAGAGGGGCTCGGAGGAAGATGAGGGAAGGCTTGTGAGGTTTCCAGGAGTTCTGATGCAATGTAAGTAGCTAATGAGGAACCATTGGCTGTCTCTTGCTTTCTCTTATGCTACAATTTGGGTGCTCAGATTCCTCCTTCTAAACGCCTCCATCTTCCAATTCTCCTCTGCTACTTTCAATCACCCACCTAACCGCTGGGGCTTTTAACAGCTGTTTTAGTAGCTTCCGAATCTCCTTCTCTGCTGGACCACTTGCTTCTTAGGGGACAAGAAGCCCATTAAGTCATTCAGGGCAAGAGGTCAACCACCTGTTCCACAGAGATAATAAGGAGCAGAAAACAAAGCAGGGCCTTTGCCCTCAGATATGCTCCAAGTCCTAAACGTAAATGTGTTTTTCCTAAAGGAGAAGGAAGGGTCACCATGCCCCCAGAACAGTTGAAAGCACAAGGACTTTTTTTGTTGCACATGTTCTCCAGCAACGGGTATTAAGAAATTTATTCCCACACATTATGATCATCCAAGAGAATGCCTTTCACTGCACCTTGTGGCAGTAGGTTCCGCAGGTTAACACTGTGCTTTTACGAAAGAAGGGTTACTATGAACTGTGCTGAGCTGCCAGCATTTGGTAGTGCTACTTGGGGAAAAAAAAATAACCAGCAATCCACGCTGAAGATGGATTGATGGACTGATGGCAGACTCCACCTGCCCCCTTTGCTCTCTGTTCTCCAGCCAGCCATCTTTTTGCTATCCTATTGATGTATAGCTTGTTGCTATTTCTGTTTACTGTTGTCTGGAAAGATCCCAGCTCCCTTTTGCGAGGCACTGAGTAGAACTGCCCGCCGAAGTTGGTGTGTTTTATTTTCTGATCCACTGCTAAGCTTCCCAACGTGGGATTGGCCTTTCCATGGACGCAAACCGGGCCAATCTTTCCACCAAGCTCTGTATTGTCGCTCCAAACCTCTTTCCTGACCAATCACAGCTGGCTCAGTTGTAATCGGGAGGGTTGCACACTAAGACTTTTCTGCCCCGCCTGCCCTGCTTTGCATTTGTGGGTGCATCTTGTTCCCCCCCACCCCCCAATCGGTCCAAAGCTGTCGCCACACAAAAGGGACTCACCGTCCTCTAGATGTGGTGTCTGGGAAGCAACGCACGACAGCTACCATGTTGTGATGATGCTGCGAGACGTGGCCGAGAGACCTGCATAATTCTGGCAGCTGTTAAGGCAAAGAGAAGTCAGTGGTGAATTTGTGAGCGGGGAGATGCTCCACGAAGGCTTCTGGAGGAATCAGTTCCAGATGGTGACAACCAGCAGAATTCGATTTTTGCGGCTTACTTTCCAATTCTCGGGGCGTGCAGCTTTCTATATTTAAGTCGCCTGCCCGCGTGTACGTTCTGCTACCTTCTGTCCATGCCAGTTGGTGTGGGCTTGGGTGAAACAACTCTTCCATATACACACTCCCCCACCCCATCCTTTTCCCCCCCCCAACCAGTTCTAAAAAGATGCATTCTATGGCATTCCGAGCATATAGTCCTATTGTGTACATTTTCAAAAGCACATTGTGTGATTCATAATGCTCAATAATGGGAGGGAAAAGATGGCTTTCTTTAAAAAGAAGCATGGAGATAAACAGACTTGGTAAGAGTACAATGGGGCCACGTTTTTAAAAGCAACGTTTGAGCTTCAGGTCCTTTTCTGCTGAAATGCTATTGTGGCAATCTTTTCACTACCGAACACAGATAGTCCTTGACTTACAACAGTTCATTTAGTGTCCATTCAAAGTTACGACATCACTGGAAAAAGTGACGAAGGAACGTTGTTCACACTTACGACCGCTGCAGCATCCCCAGGGTCATGTGATCAGAATTCAGGCACTTAGCAACTGACTCATATTTATGACGGTTTCAAAGTCCCGGGGTCACGTGTGATCCCCTTTTGCGACCTTCCATGAGTCATAAAGGAGCCAAGGTTGCCTGCCCCTGCCACAGGGGATTCAGAAAAGTAAAAATGGTGACAATTAGGCAATCAAAGCCCCACCTCTTTTATATAGGCTTTCAATGTGGATTTTTGAGGGCCCCACAACACCACCGGGCCTGTGCTTTTCTGTTTAAACAGGATTGGGAGTCAAAAGACTGTCAAAAAGTCCCCTCAGAAGTTAAAAGGAAAATACATGGGAAAATCCCATTGGAGGAAAATTCCATGTAGGGTTAGGGTTAGGTCACCATGAACTCATAGAGCAAAATGGACATCGCCAACAAACTCGGAGTGCTTGGGTATGGTTAGGAGGGCAGTTACTTTTCTAGCCTGCCCTATCTATGTTTCCTAGGAAAATACATGGGAAAAACCCATTGGAGGAAAATTCCACTTAGGGTTAGGGTTAGGTCACCATGAACTCATAGAGCAACTGCCCTCCTAACCATACCCAAGCACTCCGAGTTTGTT